ATGAGAAACTCAACATGAGCCGGCAACGTGCCCTGGCAGCCCAGAAAGCCAACCATATCCTGGGCTGCATCCAAAGAAGCGTGGCCAACAGGTCAAGGGAGGTCATTCTGCCCCTCTACTCTGCTCTCGTGAGACTCCACCTGGAATACTGCGTTCAGCTCTGGAGTCCCCAGCACAAGAAGGACATGGAGCTGCTGGAGTGAGTCCAGAGGAGGGCCACGAAGATGATCCGAGGGCTGGAACACTTCTGCTATGAAGACAGGCTGAAAGAGTTGGGGCTGTTCAGCCTGGAGAAGAGAAGGCTCCAGGGTGATCTTATTGCAGCCTTCCAGTACTTAAAGGGGGCCTACAGGAAAGCTGGAGAGGGACTTTTTCCAAGGGCGTGTAGTGATAGGACAAGGGCCAATGACTTTAAATTGAAAGAGGGCAGATTTAGATTAGATCTAAGGAAGAAATTTTTCACTCAGAGGGTGGTGAGGTACTGGAACAGGTTGCCCAGAGAAGTTGTAGATGCCCCATCCCTGGAAGTGTTCAAGGCCAGGTTGGATGAGGCTTTGGGCAAGCTGGTGTAGTGGAGGGTTTCCCTGCCCATGGCAGGGGGGTTGGAACTAGATGAACTTTGAGGTCCCTTCCAACCCTAACCATTCTATGATTCTATGTGACAGGCTATAGACACAGAAGAATTGATTTCAGTTCAAGAATGACTGAAAGCTACTCAGCAATCTAAACGGCACTATTTCTATTCAAGGAACCCCAAAACAAAGCAAGAAGTTTTTCTTAAAAATTCTACTACTGCAGTGAAAAAACTGCTTGATGATGTAGAAACAAAGCCAAAGATCCTGGACTAGGTGCCACTTTGCATTCAAGGCTAGAGCTGATTTTAAAAATTGCATTGCACATTACAGAAACAATCAAGTATTAGAAAGAACTTGCACAATCTTTCTTTTTACTTTCTGTAGCATGCTCCTCCCCTAATTTACAATCAGTGTCTATCCCATTTTGTTTCAGTATTCTTCTTTGTCCTTAATTTTGTCACTACTGAAATGAAATCCCTTCTCCTCAGCAACTCCTGTCATCCAACATAACCTTGCTTATCACTCTAGGAGAAATGATGACTTTGGTTATGCCTCAGGACAAGGATAGGATACCTCACCTCATTCTCAACTCTGCTGACTTTCAGGCTGACCTTGAACAAGTCACTTGATTGTTTTGGACAGCTGATATACCTGTCTGTAAAACGGAGACACTGATACTTATCTAACACCAGTGAGTTTAGAAGTTCTACTTGAATCAAAATTCTTGTATATTGATGCGGTTTGATGAAAGGTAGAAAGTCCAATGAAAATTCTCTTTTAGATTATTTTTCTCCAAAGGTGTTTTCTACTCAATTGTAATGCCTTGAAATCTTTTCCCTCCTGCATTATTTTTACTGATTCAAAAAGGTCTGGGATTGGAGGAAGGAGGTGAACATAAATGATGCTGCTGCATTTAACTGCCTAGGACTAAAGCTGTAGCTGTCATTAATCAGTGCAGTACAGCAGAAACTAATGAATCCAAACCCATTTAAACCAGCCAAAGATCTGACATTTAGAATCTGTTACTGGTAATGCACTGATTAGCAGTATTTTTAAACTGTAAAACGTGCAACTACTATTTGAGAAAAATTAATAAACTACAAGATTAATTTAAAACACCCACTTCCACATTTATATAGAAGCGTCTCACATACTGCCAAGCTGGATGAGGTAAGAGCCTCTCCAAAGCCAACCTAACGAGGAAAAAGCAAAACGCTTTCTATTTTCCTGGATTTTTTTAAACTACATTGAGCTTAGCAAAAGCGAAATAAATAAATGCTGAATATTAAAATCTGTATTAAGACATCATGCCTACATTTATGCTGCCTTAATTCCATTAGATGTTAAAAATTAAGCAGAGATGAATCAGGTCAATATGATGACAGGAGACACAAATCAGTTTTAGAAAACAGAAATAATGGTGAAGAGAGCTTCCAACCAACTTTTTCAAAACACTTTAGTGCAAATTATCCAGATCTGATAGTTTTAATAAGCTGAATGTCACCTGGTGGTTAACGTTTTCCTTAGTCCTTGTTGCAGTGATATACTTTTATCAAGTGATTTAATTATATCACTCAGCTTTTCCACAAACACAGAACAAACCCACAAAGTTAATACTTCTGTTGCAGTAGTGACAGTACTACTGTTCCCATTCATTAGTACAGCAATATTTTCTTCATATTTTTTTAATTCTATTACCAATCATTCTTCTTTCCATAGTTGAGTTTGTATCCTTTTGCCTCCCTTACAGTTGGGTTTTTTTTAATCATTTGAATGCCCTACACCGATTTCTATCTCAATTATTTTTATAGCTGCTTTCACCACCCCTCTAAAGGAAAACAGTTTTTAAACAAAATAGCTTTCCTTCTAGCTTGTCAAATTGATGTCTTTGGAGCATTATGTTTCTAGGCAAATACCAGTAATGGGTCACTGTATTTTGATTAAATTCTCTCCCTAGCTTGTTTGAACTCAAGTTTTGCTTTTTTTTTCTTTTTTTGCAAACTGATTCTATAACTTTTTAAAATACACATCTAAATATATGTATGCATACACATACACAGAGAACCTGGGGCACAGAGCAAGGACAGGAGAATTTAATCAGTATGAATTCACAGACACATCAGGGAAGACATACACACACAGCCATGAACAACATAAAAAGCAAAGCGTCTCCTAGTCTGTATACAGAAAGGTGGTCATTATTGCAGAGCAGCGACATGAAGTCCTGTATTATGTCTTCCCAAAGATAATACGCTGAGGAGCCTCTAGCCAACCCAAGGTAAAGGATATATGACAGCTCAGCTAAGTAAGGCCTCAAAATGGATCAAAAACATTGCTCCTAGTGCTGAAAGGACTGAGCTAAAAATGACAAAAGGGAGGGAGAAGGAGCTGAGAACTCTCCAACATGCCAGGGAACCCACTAGTTATATTAGAGACATTCAATAAACCAAGCTCTAAGTAGCAGATTTTGTTTCAGCAAACTAAGTATTTATTCTTCTTACTTGCAGCACAAATAAAGTAAACACGTGTTGAGTTTGCGTGGTTAGGTTTTGGTATCGGGGGGGCTACAGGGGTGGCTTCTGTGAGAAGCTGCTAGAAGCTTCCCCTGTATCCAACAGAGTCGATGCCAGGCAGCTCCAAGACAGACCCACCACTGGAAAGACTGAGTCCATCAGTGACAGTGGTAGCGCCTCTGGGATAACATTTTTAAGAAGGAGAAAAAAAACTGCACAAGAGAAAACTGTAGTCAGAGGGACGAGTGAGAATACGTGAGAAAAACAACTCTGCAGACACCAAGGTTAGTGAAGAAGGGGGGGGAGGAGGTGCTCCAGGCCCTGGAGCAGAGATGCCCCTGCAGCCCATCGTAAAGATCACAATGAGGCAGGCTGTGCCCCTGCAGCCCATGGAGGTTAACAGTGGAGCAGAGATCCACCTGCTGTGGAGGACTCCATGCCAGAGCAGGTGGATGTGCCCAAAGCAGGCTGTGACCCTGTGCTGGAGCAGGCTCCTGGCAGGACCTGTGTCCCTATGGAGAGAGGAGCCCAAGCTGGAGCAAGTTTGCTGGCAGGATTCGTGACCCTATGGGGGACCCACACTGGAGCAGTCTATTCCTGAGGGACTGCACTCTGTGGAAGGGACCATGCTGGAGCAGTTTGTGAAGAACTGTTCCCGTGGGAAACTTACATTGGAGAAGTTAATGGAGAACTGTCTCCCATGGGAAGGGACCCCATGCTGGAGCAGGGGAAGAGGGTGAGGAGTCTTCCGCTGAGGAGGAAGGAGTAGCAGAAACAACATGTGATGAACTGATCGCAATCTTCACTCCCTCTGTGCTGCTGGGCAGGAGGAGCTAGAGAACTCAGGAGTAAAGTTATGCCCAGGAAGAACGGAGGAGTAAGGGAAGGTGTTTTTAGGATTTAGGTTTTATTTTCTCATTATCTTAGTCGGATTTTCATCAGTAATAAACTAATTTCCCCAAGTTGAGACTGTTTTGCCCATGATGGTAATTAGCGACTGATCTCTACCTGTCCTTATCTTGACCCACAAACCTTTTGTTGTATTTTCTCTCCCCTGTCCAGCTGAGGAGAGGAGTGATAGAGCAACTTTGGTGAGTGCCTGGTGTCTAGCCAGGGTCAACCCACTACAACACAGTATATACAGTAATAAAAAAAAAGCGTTTATCTTAAAAACTGTTAAATAATAGACATTCCAGGAAGAGTTCATAACAGTTTGATTTTTTCAAGACATGCACGTTCATTGCACAGCAGATAATAATGAAGGTGCTTTTCTTTCGATCTGATATTCAAAATGAAAGCTACAGAACAACCTAAATGGAACATGCTGACAAAGAAGACTCATCTTTACAGCTAATTTAAAGCTCCGCAGCATTTATTCTAAATTAAATTAGACTCTGTTTTTCTTACTTGAACTATTTTGTAACTACCAGTAGGACAAATGGTTTGACTAGGAGACAGCAGGCAATCAACAGGTTGCCCAGCGAGGACGTGCAGTCTCCATCCCTGGCTGTTTTCAAGACCAGACCGGATGAAGCCCTGAGCTACCTGTTTAGATCTCATAGGTGACCCTACTTTGAGCAGCAGGTTGAACAAGAAATCTCCTGAAGTCCCTTCCAACCTGATGGATTCTGTGATTCTGTGACAACAAATACAGACATGAAGAAGCTACAGACTGGTTCCTGGTGTGTCTTGCCTCCTAGTAGTAAGACCACCACTATTCACACAATACCCTAGACATACTGTGGTACCACAGTATCCTCCACCCATCAGTATTTTTTCACTGTGTAACTCATTGATCTTATGTTCAAGAGACTCTAAGCCTGCTTCATTCAGCAAAAACAACTTGAAGTGTAAAAAAAAAGTTTTTGAAAAAAATCCATAATACATCTCCAACTTACTTGTCATTGAAGATGTCTTGAGCAGTCTTGTCTTCTTTTTTCTTGCCAACTTCTTTTAAGGGGAACAGTGCTTTTACTTTTTCAAGAGCAGTTTGACACCTTTCTTTTACCACACAGGGCATCTCCAGCATCTCTAAAAGGTGCTTTTCAATTGGCGGCAATGGCTCATTGGGGTGAAAAGCCTTATGCTGCAAACACTGCAAGAAACAATTTGAGAAAAAAAAACCTTTTAGTTCATGAGCTTTTAATATAATGCCTGTATGCGTGACATCATATGGTACACGCAAAATATCTTCCATATTGAAGAAACTACCTTCCAAAATTAGGCTACAAGATATATATACTCCCCCAATCAGGTATTCCAGTTATTGACACAGGTTATTGTCCAAAGAAAATATTTCTTCTTGGTGAATAAAACTCAGTACACATACAAGAGAAATTTTCACCAGTTTAAGAGCAAATGGAAAGAGAGAAGTTAAACGTGCACAGCTGAGGCACAGAACATAGGTATGTTTGCAAATTAGCTTTGAAAAGAGTGAGGGAATGAAGGGGCTTGACAGACGTACATCAAAGTTGGAACAGATGGTAGGAGCTACAGAGGAGAAAGCTTTTTCACCAAAGTGTAAAGGTAGTACACATGGTCAAGGAAGGAAGCAGAGGGAGAGAGATTAGGTTAATGAGGTGGGTTACAGAAATTCCACTGAGAATTTCAAAAACAAAGTAGATAACTCTTAAATGCTGTGAAGCGTGGGATAGCAGCAGAGATGTGTGTGTGTATATATATAAATATACACACACACGCAGATACATTAAAACGTGATGTACATGGGAGAATAGTTTTTCCCAGCCTACTATACTGGGTGAATTGGTAGATACAAATGTGAAGGTAACTACTCAGTAAACTAGGAACACAGCAGAGATTCGCTCCCCTGTTAGCTGTCAGACATGACATTAATTTAAAAAACAAACCACAGCAAAAAAAACCACCCTCTACTCATGTTGAAAAGCTGCCAATAAAGAAAATCCAGACCATATGCTACACATCAATACTGATGTGCTTTCATGCTGCCATTAAGATTCCAATCCATATTAGAGCATACTTTCAAAAGGAGGCAGTCATACAAGGCTGCTGATTTGGAAACACTTGTAATGATTTAAGGCATAATTATTTTGAAAGACAGTAAAAACGTTGCTCGAAGCTGCAGAAATGGCTCTTGTGATACAAAAAACCAATACAAAAATAACATTAGGGGATTAAATTAAACTCACAAAGCAAAAAACCCTAAGTTCCCTGTTGTGAATGTGTTTTTCAGGCTTTTGCATCTGAAATCTTTATATGTACAGCTGCAAGAGCTGAGCAGACTGAAGAACCTCAGCCTCCACTCGTTCCTGTTTATCAGCATAGATGACAACTGCAGAAACCTGAGATGGAAGGCACCATCAAATCTCAGATGCTAAATGGAGATAAAGTTGAATAGACTTAACCTGAAATTTCTAATGTGAAACAGTCCCTTTTAACCTTGCTTTCTTTTCCTTCAGTGCCCAGCAAGAACCATTCCTACTTTCACTGGCTAGAAGGCAACCCACGCTGCCACTGGCTTCCAGACTCACTGTTCTCTTCATGCGTGTTGTCAGCAACATACTAGCTCCTCCTTGCTCTTCCTAATTTCCTTACCTCTCCAGCCTAGACGTGCAGCCAGCTTTCAGGAGCAGAGGTCACACTAAAATACTGGTCAATGGATTTAAAGAAGTGGGCTTTCCACATAATTAATTCCATGATGAGCAATGGCATAAATGCATGAACAGACAGGATTTCACTGCAAGAAAGCATCCTGCCTTGTTCCTTCCACACACCGTTTAGGAATACACTTTTTTAAGAACATATTTTAGCAAATCTATAAATCCTACAGGAACCTGATAGCATTTAAAGCCTTAGAACCTAGGAGACAGATTCAGCTATCTAAAAGATAAGCATCTAGTCTATCCCAGTCACATACTCACTCCACATATGATCTCCAAAACAAGAAGAATCAATTACTTTCCCAAGTTTCCTTTTTCATGGATTATGGAATAGACTTGTACAACTCGGCTTACACTAGTTAGCCAGCTTTTCGGTGGTTAGACCTGTGTGAACTGAATCCCAACACAAGTGTCTTAGAGCTCAGTTTACACCTAGGTTGGCGACAATTTCAAAATGACCTTCCAGCAGATCCATTGCATTCAACTAAAGATAAGATTACTTGTTGCTGAAAGCCCTTACGGACTTCCGTGGGCTACCTTCCGGCCCCCGCTGCTGCTCTGCTTTTCGAAAGAATACAACCATACAGCCCAACCACTTGTAAATGAGCTCAGTCCTCTCAAGTTGCTTACACGTGGTCTAACAAGAGTGATTACAGCATATTTAGATGCAGACTCTGCAGCTGGATCCCATGCACTATGCAATGGTGCAGGCCACCATCCCCACGCACCTTCCCCCCAGGTCTGTCTCAGTACAGAACAATCGTTGCAGAGCAATTTGTTTATTTGGCTATCAAATGAAATGCACTGCATTCCTCAAACGTCTTTATGTGCTTCAAATCCCTGTATTTAAGAGGAACAACTTAAACAATGACGTTGGAAGTCTGCCACCACAAAAGCTATGGAAGTTCGCTTAGGCTTCCAGGTACCAGTTTCTGGAAGCAAGGAATAAAAGTTGAAACTCTCAATATAGGATATTCCTCATCTTCCACTCCAGAGAGCATTAGCAACTCTTTCCGTGCACTCTGTCACTTCCTCATGCCTTCCGCTTCTTCCAGAGATGTAATTTAGCTTGATGTTTCTGTTAAATGCTTTGTCACTTCTCATTCCAAATATCTCCATGAGGCAATAGAGCAAGGAAATGAAGGAGGAGTTCATCTTTTCTTCAGGGTTATTTTTCCAAACTATTTATAGGTCCTGTTCAGCCCAATCAATTTACTGGCTATATTCAAGAGATGATGTACCATTTTTCTTCATAGTTTTTAAGGAACTAGCAGTGCCACTTGGTCTAAGAGCAAAACATTAAGAATTTGGAACATGTTTGCAGTGAAGGAGAGAACTTTCTGCAACTTATACAGATCAATAGCAGTTTTGTAATGACAAAAAAACAGTGCCAAAATAAAGCACTAAAAGAATTGGTAATTTAGGGCTTTATAAACAGCAAGCACTGTAGACGGGAACTGTGTACTACCTAATACATTGAAACAATCAATAAATATTTTTTTCACCAGTAGCATTCACCCTTACAAAATTCTGTTATCCTCTAAGGAAATTGGTGAGTTACACAGTTACTCTCTTCCAGCAGCACTTGACTCAACTGCTGGGATACCACCATCACACTGTTTCAGAAGACAAACAGCATATCTAAAGAAACATCCTTTGTTGATAGGCGACATGCTCTGAACCAAAATAATGCAAAATTGTACCTAGCAATATAACAGAGGAAATTCTATCCCTTATGTGTTTCATTTACAAGCAAAACCATATTTGTCTGTAATACTCAAGCTTTACAATTCTTCCTAAAATACAAGTCATGCAGAGGTCAATCCATTTTAAGCTCTTGCCAAGCAGTAACTTTCTACTGACCAAATCTTGCATTCAGTTACATGCTGTCTTGTCAATATGACTGGCAGAATTTGAAGGGAACACTGAGTTCTTCAGGTGTCAATCAGAGTAGGATTTGAAGACAGTGGGCTTACATTTGTTCCTGAAACATAAATATGACCTTCAGATCCTTTGCTTCTTTTGGCTACACTGAGGCAGCATGGCTTTTGGAAGCTAGAGTAAGTTTTCTTAATTTAAAAAAGCATCTCCTTCCTACTTGTAAACTGAAAAAAAATTCATTTGCAATTGTTGAGATATGAAGAACATGGTTGCTACAATACCATTTTTGGTCAATTTTCAGAGCGGAGTCATGCACTCAACATATCTCTATGATTCTGTATACAACATAATTCTGCAGCTGCAAAAATTGCCTCACAGTTTTCCTTATTTTTAAATTTGCAGTGTCATTTTTTGGACGCTTGAATTCCAAAGCATAATTAAGTCTCTTATCCTCACAGTTGCAATGAAAATTTTCATGATATGAAAGGAACATAAATTAAAATGTAGACAGTCTGACACAATAACTGCAAGAAGCAGGAACTGTTCTGCTTGCTCATAAAATGCATCAGCCCAGACACTCACATGGAATATTTTAAACATCAACAATGTTAACCATCTATTACTGATCAAGTTCATCTCACACTGACCTGTTTTGGAATCACTGCTAGTTGCAACAATGCACAGAAAAGTGACTCTGCTCAAGATTTGATAGGACAGAGAATGAGAAGCTAAATAGATCCCTGACTTTCAATCGATTTCTCTTTTTTCCCAGAAGCTGAAGACTGAGCCTGTGTCCGCACCATGATTGCTGCAATACAGTGTTGAGATACCCGAGCAAGTTTTAACTTGTCTAGTCTAGGTACCTGTGAATATCACTGGTGGTGTTGCAGACACCTCAGCACAGGTGTCATTGCCCTTGCTTCCCGGAAACCGGAAATTTTAAGAACAAAATCTATGTCAGGAACTACATAGAAATCACTGGCTAGCCTACACTTAAATGCAAAAGAATTTATACTCCCATCTTCACAATGCAGATCTTTCCAATGTGAATCAGAGAAAGACAGAAAGGCGAAAAGTCTTAACAAAAGAAGTTTTTAAGAAGTGTCATCTCACCTGATACAGCCTCTGAAAATGAGGGTTTGGGATTTTGCTGGGCTTAAACAGGTCCTCAAAAGTTTCTCCATCATCATCTTCATAAATCAAATTCATAGAATCAATCAAAGAGTCAACAGCAGATAACTGATCCGCTACGGCAGCAATTACATACAAAGAAGAATTAAATACACTCGCAGATAGGTGCATTTCTTGAAACAATTTATAAATGAAGATTCACGTCGCAATGTGAGATTTTTACCAAGTCATTACATGCCACAGAACACACTGCAGATATAGACATGTCAATAAAGAACATGGATAATGGACACAGTAATAGGCCCTCTGCTTTATTTAAGGACTGTAATGTAAAGTCATAAAGCCTTTTTTTCCCCCCCCCCAAGACCTCAATTATTGCTGCCTTTCTGCTCTCATTTTTCTTCTTTTTCAAGATGTTTTTATTTGCAACAGAAGGTTTATAGGCCACTTAGAAAATAAGGAGAACAGTTGGTTTGAAAAACTAAATGGCATAATATAAATTTTAAAAGTTATGATTGCAAATGAGCACAGTTCACAATAGTCAAGCATTGCTTTGATAAGACAGGTTTCAGATTTGTTCTCAAACTGCGGGTTACAGGCAAGAAAATAGACATCGTTTCAGAAACAACCCAGTATGCTTTATACACATTGACGTGTGGATGCTCATTCAGTGGATCTCATAACAAATTAAAGAAGTGGGATTGGATTTTAAACTACACCCGTTTATGCTCATTGCTGTCCAGCCTTCTCAGAACAGTGAGTCAAGTTTTGTACGGCTTCATGCTCTATGGCTGTCCAAAGACACTCTCCATCTGAATCTGGACACCAGTAAGTGCATGCTTTAAAAACCAACACACCACAGAAAATACTGTCTTTGCCTTCGTACATTATATTGACAGGCCACACTGCAAACGGCTACCGGACCAGCTTTATACGAACAGAGCTGATGCCTCTATCCTAATTCTAGCTGGCTAATCAGATATTGCAGCTCCCACGAGGTTTAGCCGTTTAGTCTCACAAATGAGTTCAAAGATCAAAGGATATGGCGGACTAAATCTCAGATGTCTATCACAGAGATCCTGTGAGACTAATAATCCCATAACCCCAGCCAGAAACCATTTAACAGGACAGTTTAAAAGACTGCCAGCAAACCTCCAGTCTGCTCAGCTTGCAACTAAGCTGGCAAAGTTTTGATACAGGCTTTACGCTGCAAGACGACATCACCATAACGTATTCCCAAAGGGCTGCTGGTTTTTTTTTTTCCCCCAAGTCAAAATAATGACAAAGCTTACATTTTCATTGGAAAGTCGCACATTCTAGCTCTTTCAGAGTGTCTTAAAGGAAGACGAGTAGGTTACTTTGTTCAGTTGCCCAGTAATGGACTATCTCACCTGTAGGAATGCATTTTTTGTTGGATTTCAAGGATGAGAATATGTACTGCCTTAAGTCTTCCACGTAGGGTAGTTGCACGTAGATGAGACACTGAGTGAGATGAAAGAAGAAAGAAATTACTGAGTCTGAACTAAAAAAATCTCAAGTATCCCAAAGTGCCCTATTAATGCAATATAAGCATAAGAAATATCCAAAGATCCAATATCTGTGTTTATGAAAATACTTAAAATATTTACAGAGCAACACAATTTTAAGCAGAACAAAACACAGCATTATTTTATAATAAAGCGATGGCTACACTTCTCAGTTTTCTACTGATGGAATAAAGACCTCCCAGGTCATGTGATGCCTTTTTCTTGCGCAGAGTTCCAACCAGTCAAGCTTTAAATACCCCAACACATTGGTGCTTTGGGAGGTTTTATCATAGCTTACTGTGCTTCAAAGTCAAAAGTTGGTTTTGTTTCTTTAACATTCTCAGCCTAATTTTTTCTTTAGTCAAATATCTCCTCCAGTTCATATCACCCTAAATAATTCCTTACCATCCTTTATGTTTATACTCTTCAAAAGACTGAAGATTGTTGCGTCCACCCACACCTTCATCATTGCTTAGCCATGTTATACATATTTAGCTCTTTCAATAGTCTCTCGTAAGAAAGATCAGTTGAAACATACGCTGCAAAAATTCTGACATATTGTGTTGCTTCTGGGTCTCTTAGAATTTTAAAAATTTAGTTCAAATATGATTCTGCTGTGTACAGAACTTTTTTCTTTTATTCCCCCCTAGGAAACAGACTTCATTATTTTTTGCTTGTTTTTTAAAATAACCTTTTCAAGTAAATAAATATACTGCTGTCTTCCTAACTCTCCATATGAATTTAAACAATAGCTTTAAATGCTGTGAGCTCCTCCTCTCAGTTCCAGTTGACTTGGAAATCTAATGACAACAGTGTAGATGGACATGCTTGAAATGCGCCACCAACTATCAAATTCAAATTTTACACTACCAAGCAACTGGGAGATAAATCCTTAGTTTAAGAAAATGAAAGAAACTAGTTCAAATTTGGATTGTACAGAGAGGTAGGCAGTAACACAGTAAGACAGCAGTGGTATAAATATGTGATTACACTGTTTCTAGATACCAAAAAATTTGAGATTTCCAAGATAACAAAATGAAATTATTACTGTTATTGAAATAAAAAATCTGCATTATTTAAATCTGTAATACAGAGGATACTAATACAAACATATGACATTATTTTTTCATCTCTTTTTCCCCAGGGAATTTTCTTAAAATTATTTATTACCTCCTTGTCCTAAGACTTGGTACTATTTCCTAAAATCACTCTGAAAAGTCATATTGGTTTCTTCTGCTGTTACATAACACTGCAAATTCATATGGTTCTAATATGATCATTTATTAATTGGTATTTGTAAAGCATCAATATGGAGGCCCTCTACAGAAAGGTAAGGGTGAAAAATTACCTCATATGCATCCTTAATATATGGAAAAGCTACCCCAATTTGTGGGTTGCATCTTCTATCATAAGCATAACGCACTATAGCTACCACTTTCAACTCATCCAATGCATGAACAAGGGCAGAAAAAGCAACTGCTGCATTCTGAGGAAGAAGAAGAAAAGTATACAGCGTCATGTAAGTTCTCATTATTCTGCTGAAATACATCTTTCACAGTTAATTCAACAGCATTGATTTAGGCAAGACTAGTTCCCATTTCAGCTACAACTTCAACACAAGCATTTTTCATGTTCAAAAAATGAAGCAGCAGAAAGGTCAAATCTCATTATGATAGTGGATCCATCAAAGTTGAGCAAACTTTAGATCCAGTACGTTCCACCTTTTCCACTAGGTGCGAAGAGCTCTCAGAAGTATTACCAGAGAGAGAGAAATGGAGGGAAGTCAGACCCTTAAAGGAACACATCAGAGCACTGCGGTGAGGTTTTTACCTCTAATATTTAAAACAACTTGGAGGTCTGTTCTAAATAACACAGTGATATGCTTTACACGAGAATGGACTTAAGCACCAATTCAAGGTTCCCCATACCCTTGTACAAACATAGTATTTACCAGTTTCTCATTATTCATGAGATATGGTACTGATTTGGGGTCTAATCCAACTTCTTTTCATCCTAATGGGCAATGGAACAAGATTTCTGTAAGCTGCGTAAAGAATATTTGTCGTATTAACACAGAAAGAAGACAATTTCAAGCACCACTACTATTCTTTTCTGTTCTGCAGCCAAACAGCTTCAGCATTAAACTTCAGTTCACCTTACCTCATCATCCTTTGCTGCAAAGACCTTCAGAACCTGGTTGCCCATGTAGTAATGCCTCTGGATCTACAGATTCAAATGATCAAGAGTTAGCATGATCTAAAACAAACGTCATTAATGTGACCTGACTAATTAAATCCTGAAACAACTTACTAAAGTGAGAAGCCACAAAATTTAATTACTGTGCATAGAAGTTAAAAACCTGTATATGTTTCATGTCATCATTTATCCCTCAATATGGATATTCAAGTCATATTCAGC